AGCTTAGGGTAAGAGCCCTCCCTGGGGCCAGGAGCAACAGAAAGGGCCCATTTTCCCTGCACATCCACTGCTGACGTGGATTCAGTGTTTCCCTGTCCTTTGGTTCTTGGGCTGGGCAGTATCAGTGCTTTGCTGTTCGGAATGTAGAGGCTGGGACAGCTGATCAGGGAGGGGGCCTGGGGAGCTCTTAGGCTACCAACCATCAATGAAATGTTTTCCCAGACTTTTGGCTTCTCGTTCTGCACTTCCCCTCCCCCCCCCCCCCCTATTCTATGCTTGTGCTTCAAGATATGTGGGAAGGAAAACTTCCCTTGTGCTTACTCAGGCACTGGCTGTGCCCTGCTGCAGGTTCCCAGGGGATAATCCCATTTAGAGCAGAGAGCATAACAACACCGCCTTGCCTTCCTGTGACCGGGTTTTCTTTAAGAAGAGGCTTGATTTTGCAGGAGCAGCACCTTCTGGAAGAGCTTTCACAGCCACCTGCAGCAGCTGGAGGGCACTTCCACAGAGCTGTCCCCCCACAAGTCTACCAGATCCCTTTTCCAGCTCCCCAAGTGGAGCCACCAAGGATTATCCAGCAGACGGTAAGGACTGTCTCCTGGGAAACACCACCAGCGCTGTGCCAGTCTGAGACAACAACCATCTGGGGGCTGTATGGCATTGCCCATCCCACCAAAGGGACCCTTGTGTGGGACCCTTGCTGCCCTCAGCAAAACCTAAGGGAAGTCACCTCACGAATAAGGCCCCAAAATTAACGATGTGCACGAGGTTTACCTTGGGGGCAAGGTGGCAGAAGGAGCGGCAGGATTGCCCAGGCCTGGCCAGTCAGCCAGTTTCTAATGCACATCACTGCCTGCTCGTGCAGCCCACAGCCTCAGCAGCTCCTCCCCGAGGATCCCACGGGAGACAGTGCCCCAAGTTTTCCCACACTCCAGGAAGGTGACAGCCCTTCCCAGAGACGGGGGAGCTGGCAAAAACCAACCCAAACTTCTCCGCTTCCCTCCCTTTCTCCAGATGCCACCTCAGCCTGCCACCATCATCCAGCAGCTACCTCAGCCACCCCCTCTGATCACACAGGTCCCTCCTGCCCAGCCCTTTGCAGCCCCCCGCTCTGGAAGCATCAAGGAAGGTGAGGTGCTCTCTGTGTAGCAGCCAGCTCCCATCAGCTCCCCTCAGCAGGCCCGGGGAGGGCAGCTGAGGTGTCGTGGCAGGTGGAAGGGGGCACAGGACACTGTCCAGGCTGGTTAGTGACGGGCTGTTTGGTGAGTGGGAATTGCACTGCGTAACTGTGGTGGGCACCAGTCCTGAGAGGCTTTCTCAGACAAACTCTTATTGGTAAAACTAAAGAAAGAAGGACTACAAACTCCAGGGGAGCTTGGGAAAGCAAAACAGCTCAGCTCATGATGGCACTGAGCAATATTAACGAGGTCGAACGCGTGTGCACGGGTGATTCCAAAATTAACAACCAGGCTTCTAAAATCTGGTTTCATTCTTCTGCCCCCTCTTAACCTGCTGTTCAGTCTCCTCGGGCTTTTATTGTGCCCCATGTTTGGAAACAAGACAGAACAGTGGAAAGTGCTGTTCCAAAAATAGTGCAATGCCAATAAAAGAGCTTGTTTCCAAACAGAGGTGGATGCTACTGTGAAATAATACATGGACTAAAACCTGGGATGACTCCCCTGGTTCAGCCTGCAGCCAAAGTTTTCTTCAACCCACACAGAAATCTTCAGTCGTGAAACGGCAGTATTTCTCTGCTCATTCTCCATCTGAGTGCCTGGAATTTTGAATAAGAGTTTATTTTCATAAACAAAATAGTCTTGATTCATGCATGACTCTTCTGAAGCTGCCACATTAAAATACTTTTCGTGTTACCGGTAAAAAGGAGAAGGAAAGTGGCCTTGATTTTTTTCCCCCTACTTTTTTTTCTCACCTCTTCCTCTTCACCTTCTCCCCCCCTCCCCAGGTGAATCATTTACACTGCACAGGCACTTTGTGATCCCAGGGATCGTGGTGAGGAGGTTTGATGTGCATGCAGTGACAGTTTGAGGGTTGGACTAGATGATCTTACAGGTCCTTTCCATCCTTTATGATTCTGTGAGTCAGTGGACTCTCAAGGTGGCACTGCAATGCCACGTAAATTTGAGGAAACCCCTCGCATGGAGAGCACAGTCAGGAGCCTGCCCATCCTGGAGAATGGGAGAGCTCCAGCCCCAGCCCCTGTCCAGCCTCTCGGCATGACCAGAGGTGTGGCCTTGCAGGGAAATGAACAGACAGAAGGTGCTCATCGAGCAGCTTTCCTGTAGGAGGGAGGAGAAAGAGGAAAGCTGGTATGGACAGTCTCATTCATAGACATTAATTTTGCACTGTCTGGGCAAATAATGCCGATGGTCTTTGTGTGCCCCTTTCAGCTGCTTTGCCCTGGTTGCAGTGACCCTTCTGCACGCCGGAGGCACTCCCTGCTGTCTTGCCTCTCCTGCTCGTCAGCTGTTGGTGAAGCTCTTTTTTTCTTCCTTGGGGGGGGGGTGTGTGTGTGACCTCTTCCCAGACATGGTGGAGATGATGCTGATGCAGAACGCTCAGATGCACCAGATCGTGATGCAGAACATGATGCTGAAGGCTCTGCCGCCGGCGGCGTTCGCGCAGCCCACGGGGGCCAGGTCTGCCCCGCCCCAGCACACGCAGCAGGTAAAACCCCCGGGCCTGGGGGGGTGTCCTTGCTCACACCAGGCAGTGGCTGATCTCCTGGGGAGGGTACAGGGCCTGGACAGCACACATGGAGAGTCTGGGGCGTCTTAAACCCGCGGCGCCAGGAGCCTGTTTGTGAGACGGCACAGCCTGCCTGCTGGCCGTGAGGAGCGCTGCAACGGCACCCCACGGGAGAATGAATGTCTGCTCACAGGTGCAGAGTGGAGTCAGTCCAGCTCTGAAAACCACCTGGCCTGTAGGGTTGAACCACTAACACAAAGACACCTGCACTGAGTATCTGCTGCTGCAGGTCCCTCACTGCAAACAGCGGGGGGAAAGCTGGAGAGGGGCCTTTGGCAAGGGCAGGCAGTAACAGAACAATGGGGAATGGCTTTAAACGGAAAGAGAATAGGTTTAGATTAAATATTAGGATGGAATTCTTCCCTGAAGGGTGGTGTGGCCCTAGCACAGAGAAGCTGTGGCTGCCCCATCTCTGGAAGTGCTCTAGGAGAGGTTGGACAGGGTTTGAGGCAACCTGGGCTAGTGGAAGGTGTCCCTGCCCTTGGCCAGGGCTTGGAATGAGAGGGTCTTGAATGTCCCTTCCAACCCAAACCATTCTGTCATTCTATGAATATTTATGTTACAAATTATTTTATTAGTATAACCTGACCTGGCAGTATCAAATGGAGTAGAGCTAAAGCTCAGATTTTGTGATGGGGCTCCTCTGCTCTTGTTCCTGCCTCACTGAAAATCACTTGCTACTCAGCACTGAAGGAACAGCTTCTTAGACATATTTTAGTATGTAGAGCCCTGTAGGGATTTTTTAAAAACGTGTCCAGTGCCTGATGAGGGGTAGGTAAATTTGAACATATCCTTAGATGCCCAGTTCCTAATCTACTTTTAACAAGGTGATAGAACTCCTAAGCATCCTTAAGTGCCTTGGAAAAATGTCCAGTCTCTCCTCCATGGCATTTATGATCTAAGAAGAAAGAAAGGTTAATCTTCATAGAGGAGGGGGTGTGCTAGTGTTGCAATACCTTCCTCTGTACTTTTCCTACCCCACAACCTTCAGGATAACGTTTCCTTGTGCTGAAAGAAAGATCCCCGATCCCCACCTCCCTCTCCAGGCCATCCATCCGGTCACTCTGCATTTCCCTGACCCTGACCGGTGGAATAAACTGGAGGGAGTGGGATCTGAGTGCCTCTGAGTATCGGGGGAAATCTGAAGTCACCAGCTGCTTGTTGGACCTTCTGTGCTGGTGGCTGAGTGACAACTACAGCCCCTCAGCCAGTGACCCTTCCCATGGGGGGCACGGGTTTCTCCACCCACCCTTTGGTCTCTCTTCCAACCAGGACCTGCAGCTTGCTGCTCCCCTGGCTGTGAGAGCAGACCGTCCCAGGCCACCCGTGGTGCACCACCACCACCACTACCCTCCCACAGGGGTGCTCCCAGTGCCTCCCAGGGGCTTCCCAGCCCCGTCCCCGGCGCATCACTGGACCTGGACGTAGGCAGCTTGCTCCCTACCCGGCCTAGGTAAGCAAGCAGGCAGCTATGACAAACCCTCCTAGCCCATTCTTCCTGCACAGGTTGGAGTAGCAATGCAGATTGTGGAATCAGAGCCCTGCCACGCTGTGGGGCTCTTACCCTGGGTTCTGGATCTCCCTGCCAACCCAGCAGCCACCTGCTGAACAAGGGGGGTTGTGCGTTTTACATTCAGGCTCGGGTTCCCAGCAGGATTTACCTTCTTAAAGCACTACTGAGACATTTGCTGAGTGGAAATTCTTGGGGGAGAAAAAAAACCCTGCCACGCTGCTGCATCGGTGGGAACACAGCTTTTATTTCTGTGATGTGGCTCCTTCAAGACCTTAGTGAACAGAAGGACAGGGTGGAGGCAGCTGCATCCCTGGGCCCCCGTGACCTGCTGGCAGGGGTGTCTGCACGGCAGAGGATTTGAATTCCTGAACAGATTATTTACCTAATGGGATTCTAAGGGATAAACATTTCTACCTATTTCCCTTTTACATGGGTTTGTAATCTGAACTGAGTAAAGAACTCCTGGCTCCTTTCAGAATCAGTGCAATTTGCTGTTTGCATGAATCAGCAAAGCTCTTGTCATGGCCTTCAAGCTTTCTTCCTCTGCTTCAGCTCCTTCCGCCATGACTTATGAGACCAAACATCTTCTTGCAGCTGCAGCACTGCTGGCTATTGCCCAACACAATACACCCATTTTTCTTGTTGCAGGTGGCCCTCATACTGACAGGATGGGATCCTCGGCACGTGGACCATAGCCTTTCTAAAAATAATAAAATCCTGATGTTCTTCCTTGAGTATTGGCATGTTGTCTTCTTCAGCAACATAAATCAAGCAATTTTCCCTCCTTTATTTTTTCCCACTAGTTTTCAGAGGGCAGGCTTGAATCCATGCCCATGCTATCCTGTTCTTATCAGGCAATAATTCTTCATGCTCTCAGCAGCCTGGTTGTCCTTAATATAGAAAGATGAACAATGATTTCCTAGCACTTTCTCAATGTCTTCTCCTCTTGTTAAAGCAGAGACCATCTGTGCGCTGGGTTTGCCTCGTGCAGCTTGAGATTGAGTCTGATTAAGATAACCCAGGGACCTAAATTTCATTGGGAATGAAGAAAAGACAGTAACAGCCACTGAGGGAAGCTACTGGTGCGCTGTCTGTGCTCCAGAAACAATTAATGAATGATTTATTTACTATGTAAAACCTACCTTGCCCTTTGCCCTCCCTGCTCTGTTGTCTGTGCTGGGGGTGTGTGAGTCAGTCAGATAGTCTGGATCAATTCACTGCTGTGGAGATCAGAGAAACCCACCGGTTGGACATGGTGCCAGGGCCTTCAACAACCCCAGCCAGCCCATCTGGAACCCCCACTCTCCCCGAGGCCACCATTCCCATTTAAACTCAGGTTTTCCAGTCCTGGAAAGCTTCTGCAGGTTAGACATGGACCCTTTGCCCAGCTTCACACCCCAAAATGCTTGAGTCACACGCAAGCTTCCTTGGATGACAGATGTCCTCAAAGACAGGATGAGACTCCTGGGCAGGCAGGGTGTCTCACACCTCAGCCTGAGGAGAGAACCTGTGCAGCTCCAGAAGCTGCTCTGCGTTGTCCCACCAGTGCCCCTGCAGCTGCAGCCCACTGAAGCGCCAGGGAAAGCCTGGCAGATGCAAGTTCTCCTCCTGCTCTGTGTGTGTTCCTTGAAGACTGTGGAATTGCTTCAGAATTCCTGAAAGAGGCCTTGGGATGAAGCCTGGCTGAGTATCCCTC